GCTTAAGACACAAGACCCAACACTCTGGATGAGCTTAAGACACAAGACCCAACACTCTGGATGAGCTTAAGGCCACTATCGAAGCATCCTGGGCCTCCATAACACCTCAGCAGTGCCACAGGCTGATTGCCTCCATGCAATGCTGCATTGAAGCAGTCATTTCTGCAAAATGATTCCCCACCAAGTATTGAGTGCATAACTGAACATAATTATTTGAAGGTTGACTTTTTTTGTATTAAAAACACTTTTCTTTTATTGGTCGGATGAAATATGCTTATTTTTTGAGATAGGGATTTTTGATTTTTCTTTACTTTTTTGCCAAAATCATCAATACTAAAACAATAAAAGGCTTGAACTACTTCAGTTGGTGTGCAATGAATCTAAAATATATGAAAGTTTAATGTTTACCAGTACATTACAGAAAACAATGAACTTTATCACAATATGCCAATTTTTTTCGAAGGACCTGTGTATATTTTAGGGAATGATGTGTTCAAAACCACCTTTGCAGACTCATCCCAGCAGACTTAAAACAACTGAGGGGATTAAAAACTGAGGGTCTAAATACTTTTAGCAAAAGAAGCAGTTTGGCAAAAGTTTTTCAAAGACTTGAACGAACAGAGGAAGTAATGAGAGCTGCATTCCATCACAGGGAGAATTTGCTTTTGCACCTGCAGATAAGCRATGTGTGCAGGTGCAGAAGGTGAATACAGCTCTCATTAATTCACTTGTCCTGCTCTGTACAAGTCAAACTCTCTGCCATAAAAATTATATATTTTAACTTTCTAAACATTTTAAATGAAACTAATATAGATTTATAAAAAATATTAATGTTGTATATTTAATCTGCAATGGTGACTATTCCTGAAATTGGTTTGGGCCCACTTGTTTTCAGGTTTTACTCAGACATCTAGGGAACTCTGTTGTGGGTTCTTGTTTTCAGTCAGTGCATGTGTTTCCTGATAAAAAAAAAATAGTGACAGGGTAAACCACCTGGGCACTTCACTAAAGATTATAAGAGATTTAATTGCATAAATGGAAGCAGTAATAGTTGTTGTTGTTGTTGTTGTTGTGTGTGTCATATACTGTATATGTATGTATGTATGTATGTATATGTGTGTGTGAGTGTGTGTGTGTTTTAAACAGAAGGGTATTGTTAAATCTACTAAATATTTGATATAGCTCTTTTATTTTTTTTGTCACTATAGAAGCAACAGTCAAAGTTTGTATMAGCAAAGACCAGAGAGGACTCATTTTTAAAGTTCCCCTTTGTCGTCGCTTCCTGTTTCACAAGAAACTGTGCCAGTTATGTGAGAAAGCTTGTAATATCATGTGTTTTATGCCAAACTTCCAAAAATAATAAGATGTTCCACTTTCTGTACTTGTAGAAAAGCATGTCACACACACTTTAAAGTCCTAAAAGTGGCAGCAAGATTTAACCAATCAGAATCTCTGTTTGTGTTTTAGGAATGAAACCGTTGTTGTGATTGGCTGACATCATTCACAACCCTTCAGCCCAACCTGAGTCTGCTGCTCTCTTCACCTTCTCAGTCCAGAGGGGCTCTTCATTGTTTCTACGAGGCTCCATGGCCAACTAATGGTTTTCAACTAATTTTGTGTAACTTATTGTTTTTACCGACTTTACAAAAGAGCAGGAGAGCACACAATTTATTATCTGTGTTTTTAATGTTTTACCAGAGTATTTTCAGAGCCGTTCTACACTAATTTGGAAACAAAATTATTTCCTCGTGACGTGAAGTTTATCGGATACAGACTTTTTTAAACGCACATTCCTCTTATTTATCGCCCATTTTTTGTTTAAAATGTGGCGTGTTCTGTTCCTCCTGGTTCTCTGCTGTGTTTTTCGGACACCCGGTGTTGTGGCGGATACAAACCTGGATTCACCCCGAGAAAAGCTGCTGTCGACCGGAGCAGAGGAGCAGCCGGACAGAGGCGCTCCCAAGGCGGCTACAGGTGAGCAGCCTCCCGTGGACGGGAGGACTCCTCTGCCCACCTCCGTGCCTCTGGAGGACGAGCTGGACAACCAGGAGAATATAATTAGCCAGGTCAGTAATGAAAACGTTTATTTCTCGTTTTAAACCCAGTCAGAAATTTATACTTTAATTAGAAACTGTAAAAAGCAGATGAAGGGAAAGTTTTTTACAAATGAGACACTTTTCATCGTTATACAACACATTAAATTGTATCTGTACAGATAGCATTTAAAAGCTCTTACAGCTAAATTAAAAATGGTAAAAAATATATTTTTTGTGTTTATTTTGTGTAATAAAAGCAAATAATCATGACAAATTTTAGGTTTTAAAAAGTCTGAATTGCAACAATTAGTGTTTTAACTTTTCTTTCTCCATTAAACATCCATTTACCAGTCCTGCACAGCAAATTACTTATCCAGCACACAAAAAAACACATAAAAAACAAAAATCCATATGCATTTAGGACTTGATGCTTTGAAAAATATAAGAACATGTTTTTGGAAATTATTTTAGTCGCACTTTCAAAATATGCCTAGACTTGATTCCTCCTTTAAACCTAATCCAAACCCAGTTATTGTGAGTTAAAATGATGGGAAACACCAGGGCTTTGTGTGCATGTCCACACTTTGATGACAGTGTGCATCCCTCTGGCTGCTGGTTATATAACATCCTTCAAACTGTAGAAGCTCCAAACCTCAAAACTGCCTGTTTGTAAACGCCTGTAGCCATCTTTCAAGAGGAGGCTCACCGCTGCTGCAGCTGCACAGCATCAAACATCCTGCAGTTCACATTTTATATATAATTATTGTGTCCTTGCTTGGTAATATTGCACAGGCGGACACAGGGAGTTTCACTTTCAACATCTGAACTCTTTTTTTTATTATTTTTTTGGTGGGGAGAAACAAAAGATCTATAAAAAAACTTGGTTTCTTTCTTGCAGCTGCTGGGAGATTATGACAAAGTAAAGACCGTTTCATCTGGCTCAGACTGCGTGTGCCGCTGTGTGGTTCGACCGATCAGACGCTCTGACTGCAGCCGTATCCACCATGGTGATTCTGCACCGCAGCTCCAGGACTTTTACTCTGTGGAGACAATCACCAAGGGAACGGGCTGCAAGAAGTGTGTGTGCATGGCGCCACCTTCAGCTGTTAACCCCTGCGAGGGAGAGTACAGATTTAAAAAACTACAGGAGGCAAGCAAAGACGACATCAAGGTAAAAACCCACACAGCCATTGCTTTCTATAATGAATGTTTTCTCCATCTTCTGATTATCTTTTATTCTACTGTCATCAACCTTTTGTTTTTCTCTGTCTAGATGGCTACAATCATTGACTTACTGGAAGGCTCTATGTATGGATTGGACTTGTTAAAACTTCACTCTGTCACCACCAAACTGCTGACCCGGATGGACAACATGGAGAAGGTGAGTGGACTCAAACTATAAAAACGTCCCAAATTAAGAAAAGTAACTCTGAAATCTTCCATTACAAGTTGGCATTTCATCAAAGTTGACAAAATTCTATCAGGTTAAAAAAAACAGCAGATTTATTTATGCAGAAGCAGGGATTATTTTTTATCATCAGGCTGGAACAAAACAGGACTGTGCAGTAGCTGCAGAATAACTTTGATGGGACAAATAGTACTTTTCCTCAAAGGGTGACTTTATTGCACCTATAATACTCATTCACATGTCTTAAAGTTCACCTTCACATACTGGGATGAGATCTGTGAATGTAGTAAATCTAATTTATATACCTTATATGCTCAGATAATGTAAGAATTGGTGTGACAGTGCTCAACAAGAGCATAGGTGAACTACAGATAAATCTCATGGATTTTCAAGATTATGTTCATAAACACTATTCCAGACTCAAATAATTAACATAAATGAAGGAATATGAGAGTCAGTGTCTGTATTTTTGATGTGAAAACATCAGATCAGGTTTGCATTTTTATATGCTTTTTGTGCAGAAAAATAGATTTTTTTTTTACTATTTTAAAATATTTACTGTTTAACGTTAGTAGTTTCAGTCACAGAGATGTAAAAATTTATGGTGCTCACCTGGATGATGAGTTTTACAGATGTGCGGCGCTGGAACAGAACCATTTAATGATATCTTTGCTTCTCAGATTCAACTAGTCCTTTAGTTCTTTAGCGTTTTTTTGTTGTCACCATTTCTTAAGTGCTGCTTCCTGATCAACTCTGGTGTCGTTTTGTCTGTAAACTACAGGATTTTTCACGAAATGTAACTGAAATAATTAGAGAGAAAGAGCGCGTGAAGGAAAAAGCAAAAGAAAAGGATAAAGACAAGAAAGTTCAGCAGAAGAAAAAGAAAATGAGTGATTTGGAGCGTTCAGGACAGAAAACTGGAGCAGCTGTCCACAAGCAGGTATCACAAACTGTATGGATTAATAAATCAAAACCTAAGACTCAATAACATGTTGTTTTCTTTAATATTTTAATGAGGTAAAAGTTTTTATTCTGTCTAATGAAGGTCACATTTTGTTTTAGAAAAATAATGAAAGCCAGCTGAAGAAAAATCAGCAGCAAGATGGTTTGGAGCAACGGCAGCCGRCCAGGAACGAGACAGAAACTAAAACCTCAGTGAAAGAAAAGAACGTGTTCATCAGAGGAGTGACTTTTTACAAGGCAGATGAAGAGCTCTACGAAGGAGAAGAGGAGCAAAAGAAAGGGAGAGGAAAGACGAGTAAGTGCATTAGATTAAAGAGTAACTTACCCCAAAATTAACTTTTTTTATCTGATAAACTGTCTAGAATGTGTCTAAAATGTTAAATAGTACTGTTTCTGTGCTAATTTTGATGTTTTTGTGCGTATTTGTTCAAATCTGTAATATTTGGTCTAAAAACGTGTTTTTGCTGCTCATATGGGTAGAGCAGTGGTACTGCAGGCCAATTTGCATATTGGTTAATGGCGCTCCACAGTGACGTGACTTTTCCATGGTTTCATCACAGCAGCCTTGTTCTGGTATAAAAGCCTCTCTCTAAGACACGCCCCTGCAGCAGTCAGGGGGTGGAGCTGTTAGCATAGCATGATCGTCTGGTCTGTTGACTCTCCTTCAGCCTCCCTCAGCCTCCGGTGGGAAGAGCTGACTGCTGCGCTGCTCACACACACACACACACACACACACACACACACACACACA